ATGAATGCCATGTTCTCCCAGCTGACTGCCTAGTACAGAGAGAAACGCCAAGTGAGACCAGGCTGGACAACTCTCCCTCCTGAGCAATGGCGAGAAAGGATGTGCTTCTGTTTGTGTCCCAACAGCCGTCTTGCAGCACAGGTAATGGGGATGGAGAGCGCACCTCCCGGCTCACCATCCCTGGGGACTGCTTCACAGGCAACCACCAGGACAACCAGCCCACCAGCCGCAGGCTGTCCCACGACATGGAGTCGGGCATCACGGCACAGCCAGCATCAGACAGTGAGAACACGCTGCTCTGTTTGCCATGTGTCATTGCATCTGGGCAGGCAGTCAGAGCCTGCAGCCTCGGGAGTGAGGCAACACCGAGGTGACCCAGAGCAAGGCAGACCAGGCAGGAGTCTTGCAGCTATGCTAACAGAGCCATGCAATGTAATGTGGCCTCTGGTCTGCCCCCTGGGTCTGCAGTTCATGTCCCCTTGCTAGCTCAGGTCTGCCCTCCCACTACATACTGCCCTTCCATGACAAAATGCAGAGGCTGGAAAGCTGTTTGAGGAAAGGCTTCCAGTGCCAGTGTCCGGCTACTGGTGTACCAGTGCAGCTAGGGGAGGACAGAGGAAGATAAAGTCAAGAATCCCTGAGCCCAGGGTCATCCACCTCCTCAGCTGCTCTGGTGGCAGACAGCTCTTACCTTGGCAGCTATCCCAGCTTCATAGAAAGCCTTGTCTGCAGGGAGGAGCTCAGTGTGGCGCAGCAGAGAAATGGACAGCTTGGCAGCCACAGTGTCCTGCAGACACAGGGGACAGTAAACCACAACAATCGGCACAGAAATACCAGGTCGGAAGGGATCTCATGAGCTCATACTGCCCCAGACCCGTGGCAGGGCCTCTGCACCCACCTATTCCTGACGTGTAAAAAACACAGGTTAAAAACTTCAGTCCTGACCGTAAGTACCCTCACTTCAGAAGCCTGAAGTGCTTCTGTTTATAGACCTCGCTGGTTCTACTAGAAGCCGCACCCGAACTCCCACCGTTTGAGTCACAGCACAGTGGAGGTCGGAAGGGGTCTCTGGCGATCCCCTAGTCGCCCGCCCTGCCCCGTTCAAAGCAGTGCCCACTGCAGCAAGTTGTTCAGGAACACGTCTGGTCACGTTTTAAGTACCTCAAGGGATGGAATCTCTCCAGCCTCTCCAAGCAACCTGTTGTGGTGTTCAGCCACGCTCACAGTAAGTTTTTTCTTGTATTCACACACAAGAGTTGTTGAGTGGGGGCGAGGAATTCAAGGGAGAGAGATTTCACTTTTCTGCTTGCCAACTAGTTTCTCATCACACCAGAACTGGGAAGGCCACCCCTCCTTCACGATCCCAAATCAACTATCCAGCACCTTGGGTCTGTACAGCTTTCTAAGACAGCAGACTTGGCTCTTTCTGTCTGACATGTCTCTGGACCCCCAACGTATACACATGCAACCATGGGGAAGCCCCAGTCCCCTATGACATCTACTGGGGTCCCAGCTGTGGCTTTTCTTCACAGCCTGCTCTATTGCAGCTCCAGTCCCACACTCATGCAGAGCTCTAGCACAATTCCACAAGCCCATATGGATCAAGACTTCAGCAGGGACGCCGCTATGTATCGTGGCCCAGAACAAATCTCAATGCCTGCAAGACTCAAAAATACTCCCAGTGCCTTGTGAGGCCCGGTACCCAGGCCCACGAGCTCCCAAAGCCCCACAGAAGGCCCAGCACACAGGCCCAGTATCCGCCAGAGCCCTGTGCGGTGCCAAGCACTCAGGCTCACGAGCTCCCAACGCCCTGCGCAAAGCCAATCTCCTCTCAAGACCACACGGGAAGCCCAGCAGCTCTCACGGCCTAGGACAGCTGAAGAGGGAGCAATGCCTCTCCGGGGAAGACCAGATTTTTGTGTGATCCCTCAATTTCTACTGGTGCCTCTGCTCTCATAAGTCATGCTGAGTGTATGGATCAACTTCCCACTGGTTTACATCTCAGCCCCAGTGGCTGAGGGGGGCAGGTCCCACTATAAGGAGTCAGAGAAGGCTATCTCCAGTTCCACCAGCTAGCGGTGGGCTCCCGGATCCCTATAGTCCCATTCTCATGCATCTGTGATTTGTGAGTGATCCATGAAGTGGAATCGTGAACTATGGATATCCCTGAAACTGCACATCCCCACGGGGTTCTCCACTCAGGGTGGTGACCTGGCAAAGGAACTTAAAAAACCCCTACCAGTTGCTTCACGCCCTGAGCAGCAGAGCGGGTGGCATAGTAGTGAGAGATGAGCAGCATCGTTTCAAACTCTTCATGTGCTGGAGTGTTTGCCTCACTTGACTTGACTAAGTTTTCACACTGAAGAAGAGAAAAGAAGAGTAATTGAGAACATGAGAGCACAAGGGCGCTCTTCACCCACTTGAGTTCAGGGAAAAGTTGGGGGAGAGAAGGATCTGAAAGATCCAGGGACCTCTGGGGACTGTAAAAGGGCTGGGCCTTGCGTGGTCTGGGTCCTACAGAGTGCTGAAGGGCAGAGGCGGTGGGAGAGCAACAACAGACAGCACTGGAAGCAGGGGTGAGTTTGGAGGGCCAAAGGGGGATTTGTGGATTCCATTTGAGCGAGAGGTGGGTATTTGTGGGGCAGAAACAGAGAAGAGGCAATCATGGGCTCTGGCCAAGGTGTTTTGGGACAGAGAAGAAGGAGCAGAAGGCTCTAAGCATCTCTGGGGAGATGGGGAGGACTCTCATCTTCCAGGCTCAGTAGTTCTGTGCTTTCCCCAGGTCCTCACCCCGCCCAGGCTACAGAACATGAGTGTAGGACGAAAAGTGGGCGCATTGCAATAGACTCCCACGTAGCAGTGACACGGTGAGCTCTGCAAGTGCCAGTGTCCAGATCCACTTCTAGGACTTGGCCTTAAGTGCAGTGTCATCTTCTTCCCTGACTTCTGTCACCCAGCCACATCCACTTCACAATATCCTGTTGTTCTACTGTCAACATCGTGGACACTTCCCCAGTTCCCCTCGGCTTGTGTTCTACAAATACTGCCCATGTCACCTGGCTACAGACTGGCTCTTCTTTCTCCCCTGGCAGGAGCCACCAGGGTGTTGGAGTTTAACAGCCAGCGGTGGCTACGGCCCACACTCACCAGATGGAAGAGAACATCACGCAGGTCAGCCCAGCTGGAGTAGGCCTCGGCACAATTCATGCCAGACGCATTCACCATCTCCACAAAGAGACGCTTGTAAATGTTGAAATTCTGCAATAAAAAGGAGAGAAATCATGAAGGAGCCAGACGGGGAGTCAGCAAAGGTCTGGAGCTCTCCTGCTGTCAAGCACAGGCTGTGGGAACGGCAGCGCTGCACACAGGCTCCTGGAGCAGCACTGCTGCAGGCTGCTGGTTGCAATGGGTGCCACAGGACAAGGCAGGGCAATGGGGAAGAATGCTGCCTGCAGCCAGCGCTCTCAGAGGCAAACATGCTTCCTTTTACTCTGGTCCTGGTGGTCAAGGTGTTCAAACCAAACACAAATACTCAACCTCCCCCTGCTCCTTCCCTGTGGAGAACAAGCCAGGAGACTGCCTTTAGTCCTGTAGCTGAGGAGCCTCTGGAAGAATGCACAGCAGAGCTGAAGGGGCTGCGACATGTTGGACAACTGGCAATCCCAGTTCTGGACTGGGAGCCTGACTCGTGCGGCAGGTCCCGGCACACTGGCTAGTCACACTGGGATGTCATGCTCTCTTCATTACCTGTAGGTTGGCAGGTGCTCCGTGGTGGACGTACAGGCTCAGGGCTTTGTCCCAGCTGCCCTCCCGGATGAGGTGGGTTGCATACAGAGCTACATACTTGTGCAAGACTTTATAGTTCTGGAGAAAGCACACAGAAAGCACTAGCATGAGACTCACAAAGTGAACACTTGTCACTCGGCAGAGATGGTTTCAGATGAGAGCACACACACTCATACACCTGAGTCCCAAAGGGCGAGACCAGGTAACGAGACAGAGACAGGCTGCACACAGCAGACCTGGTTTTTGATTTGGGCCCCACTTGACACCTCTAATCCTGGCTAGCTGATGCCGTGCTGATGCTTCACACATACAAACAAAGCTGGTTTTCAGCTGTTCACCACTTGCCAAATAGACAAAGGATGCGGCTTCTCCACAATGTGGCATCACAGGCACCAGTTGTAAACCAGCCCTTAGTCTAACGAAAGAACGAATAAAAAGACTTTGTGGACTGAAGATATTAATAATTTGCAAGGCTGCTCTAGTTAATTATTCAAATGCTGCCAGGTCTCTGGGACTGGAGGTCTCCTTGGAGTGCTGCTCTATGCGCTGATCACATCAATGCTTTGCTGAGGACTGACTGTAGTCGGCCTTATGAAATTCAACTGAGAAAAGACCTCTTTCACACAAGCCTAAATACAGTAATGAGATGAAGATGGTGTAAAATGTGCAATCCTGTCAAAAAATGAGCAATAGAAACAAACTTATTAAGCACAAGAGAGACCAGAACCCCGATGATATGTCTAGCACATGTGATGTCTAACACCCAGATGCGGCTGCTGGTGAAACACTAGGTACAGGACAGTCTGGGATAAAGATTAAGTCTGGTATGTGACCTGTTTTGAGAAATGTAACTTTTTTCCCTGTATAATCACTGTAGAACAGCCAAGTTAAAAGTCATGAAATTCTGCACTGGTCATGGAGCAAGGCTGTGCTAACACTCTCTTAGAGGCATAAACAGACTAACATCTTCTTGGATGTGGCACCGTTGTGCCTGGCTGACAACAAACCTGATTAAGCCTTTGCCATTAAACTGAGTGTGAAGTTACTCTTTATGGAAGACCAACACTGCTGTCTCCTGCTAATTAGACCATCAGCACCGAAGTCTCCAAGATAACTACTCCAACAAAGGCCATTTGTATCACCAGAGAAGCTGGAGTCAAAAAGAAATCAAGTTGACTGTAGCAGAGCCCAAACTTGGGTTACTAGTTCCTGCATTAGAAACAAAGCTACAAAAATACAACCCGTTGCCAGTGCTCGCCCAGGTTATCAGTATCTTCCTGAGCGATCAGCTGTGATGTCTGCACTAACTCCACTGCCAGGGGCTGCCCTGTTACTGGATCTGAAGCAATGCCTCACTTCAAAGAATCAACACCTGCCCTTAGTTTAGCTCCTTTATCAACAACCACTGAATCAAGAACCAATCAATAACCAATAATCACTGAATACAAACAAACCCTTAAAGTAGATCCTGGTAATCTAGAGCTTTCTCCTTCCATTACTTCCGCATTGGAATAGCACCAAACCAGTTTCATTTTGCTTTTCTCCATTTTTATTACCCTGCTGAGGTAATTTTACTAGTTTTAGGTTAGTAAAAACGAAACAGTGTCCAATTTGCTTCCACCACAAGGACGTCTCATTCTAGCAACACCAGGCCTGTAAGGAACATGTCGTAAAGGTGGCTTTACCTTTTACAAGTCTCTCTGTTTCCATGGCATCAATTACTTCCAGCCCAAACAACTCATTTAGCTTTTTCCAATGCTCCATTAATCACAAAATTTAAACGCAATATGCTTCTGGGTTCCAACGCTTCCCTAGGAGGCCTGATTGGCCAAGACGAGGGCAGTGGAGAGGTGTTTTTTGAGCTGCTGCAGTGACCCCCCTGTGCTCCCCACAGAAACGACCACTTTGCCCTGCCCACTCATTCCTGCTGCCCCTGCTTCAGAGCGCCAGGACCCCACGTCTGTCTCCTGAGGGCCCACACAGGCACTCACCTGCTTAGCTGCAACCTCCAGGCACTTCTCCCACTGCTCCTGCTCTGCGTACATATCCAAAGCAGCCATGACATCTACTCCCACAAGCTGGGGACGGAAACAACCATGAATTCATTGTCCAGGCAACGTTTCCTACCAGCATCAGGGCAGGCATCGGCCCACCCAGGTCTCTTCTTCACACACACCCAGTCCCTCCCCTTCTATGGTATGGAAGCACAGATCCAGTGTTACCCAGCTGGCACGCAGAAACCATGACGCATAGGCACATACAGACTCCTCATCTGCAGGCATATTCAGGCAAAAGCCCCATGAGAAAGGCGCCAAGGATCTGCACAGATCCTGACATCACCCCCTAGCCTGTGAGACATCCCAAATACATACCGAATCTACCTTTCCTTGGTTCTTTAAATACTCCTTGTAACGCTGGTCCACATACTCCTCTGACCTACCAGGTAGAAAGAATCATAATAGGCAGCAAGACTAATAGTGTCTCGCATCAGTGCAGAGGCCAGATTCCACTTCGTCTGCTTTGGGACAAAGAGGACTTACAGCTGTGCCGTGTCCTTCTGGCCTGTTACTGGGGGCACAGGTAGAAGGGGAAAGAAAGGGTCTAGGCAGCTCTTTGCAGTATAACGTGTGAGAAGAGAAAGGGAACACAGGACTTTCAGAAGGAAATGTGTGTGCAGGATTACACCAAGGGAATGAGAGATGGGGACAGGGATGGGACAGAAGGGGATAAGGATTTCCATGGGATGTCTGGCAGCAGAAAAGCGCCAGGATGGTAAATGGGTTTGGAAGGGCAGCTGTCAAGAACGTGCCCTGTCGAGCGCGGGAAAGCCGCTGTGGGAAGAATCCGGGGAACCTGGGAGCAGCAAGACAGGACACAACAAGGAATCATCTAGGGGTGGGAGAGGGAGCAGGAAGGGTATAATTTGAGAAGTTCAGGGCGTACCTGGGGTCCAGCTCCTTGGCCACGCGCTTGGCTTTGCTCCATTCCTCCCCTTCAATGAAGGCATCAATAGCTTCTTGGATGAGGTCCAAGTTGAGGTAGAGTTCAGCTGCCTGCAGGGCCAGAGATAGTCCCAATGAAACCCCAATGGCACCCTGCAGCCCAGGCTGGAGCTGGTGCTGTTGGAAGTGACCAACACACAACAACAAATAGAAAGTTTCTTCCCAAAAGACAAGCCCCCTTCTCTGATTCCTGCCTCCTCCCGAGGCCTGGCTCTCTCACGCTACTCCAGGACTTGATCCCTTCCCCTCCTTCCTCCTTCTTGAAGACTCTGGATAGGGCCATCCACCCATCACCCCAGGAATTGACCTGGCCTCCCTCCCTTGGATAGAGCTCTCCCTTCCTATGTCACTGTTTCTTCACTAGTCTGGGGTCAGGAGCCGGTCCTCACCGCACTGTATTTCTTCATGGCCACCAGCTGAGGAGCCACAGTCCGTGTCACCTCCATGCTCTGTGACTGACCCAAGAATTTCACGGCCAACTCAGCAGCCTGTGAAGAGAAATTGTCAGCAGCACAAGTGATAAAAGCTGTTCGAGAGAGGGATGAATTTGGGAAGAGCTCAGTCCTAGCTAAAAGACTGAGAGTCAGGAGCACTTGAACTATGGCAGAAGAGGAGAAGAAATGACAGACCACTTCGGCAATTCAGGGAAGTAAAACCCAGCCACTTTCACACATGGGAGAAGATCAGACAAGGACGTGATTGTTGTTGAAGTGGTACAAGGGCACAGGTGTGAGTGAAAAGTATTAACAAGAACACGACCCAAAGGCTCGTGGACACAGACCACAGGAAGAAGAAAGGGCGCTCATCTAGTCAAAGGCTAAGTCATAACGTCCAGCTCTTCAGTGCAGGGAGATATGGGCACAAAGATACCGGCATGCTGCTGGAAGTGCTGCCAGAGCAAGCATGTCCGTGCAGTGCTGGATAAGCACACAGCCCATCATGGCTCAACAGAATGGCCACCACGAAGCCTTTCACACCCTGCAGTCCGTGGAACCTGGAGATCCTCTCTTGTGCCCTGCACTGACTGAGATATCTGGGATGCACTGCAGGCTGCGGGAGACCTCCTACACAGCAGAGCAGATAAAGCAAATTATAGACCCTGATTGTACCTTCAGCAAGCACTTCTCCGTCAGGACACTGTTGCTGGGATCCCGCACCTTCAGATAGCAGTCCACTGCCCTGGCATACTCCCCAGCCTGCTCCCACTCCCGTGCCTGCTCCAGCAGCCCTTCTGTTCCTCTGCAGGGAGGAATGCAGGCTGTGAGCAAGACTGGGATGCTGCCACAGAGATCCTGTAGACAGCGTGTAGGGCATGGGCTGGAAGGTGCAAAGCCAAGGACCTCAGAGGGGGCTGAGTGTGTGACAAGGAATGCACATAGCCAGTGCTGAGGAGAGAATCGGTTAAGGACCCTGTGGAGATGCACTGGCGGTACAGGAGACCTTGGAGATCTGTACGTGGTAAGAAGACATCTGGGAGACCTTGGATGGCAAGAATAAGCCTGAAGCCTCCCAGAGCAGGGAGGAAGGATGTTGGGAAACCTATGCAGTAACAAGTCCAGGGTCCTCAACAAGGAAACAACAACTGGATTCCAGGGATCCCGTCAGGTTATCTCTGCAAGACATCAGCACAATGGCCTAGGGTAAGAGCTACCTGTCTGTTCCCTGCAGCCTGATCACAGCATTCCTTACCTGGAGCCCTTCTTGGCAGCCTCCCTGCCACACTCCTCCTGCAACTCTTCTAGCCGACTGGGCACGTATTCCTTGCAGATCCGCAGGGCCTCGCTCCACATGCCAGCTTCCTGCACAAGCACAATGGGGATGAGAAATTTTCACCAGTTTACCAGGATCCCCCACACTCCTGGCATCACATAACACATCTAGCCTCTCGTGGCAACTTGCCAGAGGACTCACTGGAAGAAACAACCACAGCAGCAACTATCCAATTCTTTGCTCCCCGAAAATGGCGCCTATGTCTATCCATTCACCCGAGCTACCTCCGGGCAAAATGCTCATCCATCCCAGCTGCCTCTGTGGAATGGGCACTTGCAGTCTCCAAATGCACCCACTCGTGCTGCCCCTGAGGGCCTTTCATATTCTGGCAGGATGCTGCCTCCCAGAGCTGTGAGAGCTAAGCTATGCTGTGGAATTTCTACCGCTTCAGTCTTCCAGGAGCAGGCCAGAATTAAGTTCTGCTAGGAACCACCTGAGTAAACGGTTCCTCTTTGGCTGATAAACCAACAGGGAGAGCTGGGAGATAGGTTTCACTCCTCCTCCATCCAAACCAGGTTCTTGTCCAATGAGGAAGGCAATAATGTCGCTGCAGACGACGCTCACCTTGTAGTACTTTATGGCCAGCTCAGGTCTCTGTGCTCGCAGGAGGAAGGCCTCTGCTTTCTGGAACTCTCTCTGCTCAAAGGCAAAACGTGCCTGTCCCACAAGCACATCAGCCACGCTGTCTGGGTCATGAGCCTCAGCCACACGCTGTGCAGCATCCCAGTTCTGGTTGTGCACAAACCTAGGGGAATCAACGCGAGGTGTAACAAGAGGGATGGCAAGGAGCAGACGAATGCTGGAGAAGCCACCAGGCTGGAATCAGATGGGGAGAGGAGAAGCAGCAGGCCAGGCTGGAGAAGGATACATACATCAGCACTGCCTCCTTGGGTTTCCCAGCTTTAATAAATTCTGCTTCAGCCTCTTCATATTTGCCCTAGGAGACAGGAAGGAATTTGCTTGCATACCTTCCTGCCCTGATACCATTGTATGACCTCCTCCATTACCATGAGGCAGAGAGGATTTATGAAACAAAGGTGTGCGTGGAAGCTTGGGGCAGTAATCGTGGAGCCTTTTGGGTGAGCAGTGACTGCAGCCACAAAAGCGCTTGCTGCAGGAGCCCTTAAGGACAACAGTCCAACTACCTGAGTAACCAGGGAACTCCCACCTATTCCAGGGAGTAAAATTACCTTATCTTCTAGGAACATGGCATACTTTAAGTGGATCTCTGGCATCTTCTGCTTCATGGAGAGGCGGGCCAGTTCAAAAGCAAATTCAAAGACCCTGCAATGAAAGAGAAAATGGGGTGAGAGCAGGACTATGTGCTGTGAGGGCATGCCTTCATCAAGAGCAAGACATCAAGTAGAGCACAAGACATTGGGAGAAGAGAAAGGGGAATACAGAGGGTCCCGAGTGAATAGACACTGTCCATTCCTCCTGCTGCTGACCAGGGAACAGGAGCTTTTAGAGACCCCACTAAGGAAATTCAGCTCTTTCACACTTGCTGTTAGTGCCAGAGGCCCTTATTCAACCCCAAGGGGAGGGCCCAAGACTCCCCCGAGCCTAGCAATGTGGGAGAGCTGGGGGAGAGCAGCAGTGAATGTCAGCGCAGTCAGATGGCTGGCCAGGTGCAGAGTGAGGCCAAAACACTTCTAGCAGGCAGTTATTTATGATGACACGAGGAACGCCTCCTCCTGTGCTCAGAGGCTCTCACAAGGCCCCCCTGCTAATGCTAAAGGGCAAGCTGCTTTTGCCTGCCCAGCTCTGACTCGACATCTGAGAGACTGACAGGTGGATGTGCCAAGGAACCAGAGTACGTGCATGAAGGAGAAGTATGTGTGGGGTGGGAAGACATGTCACAGCCTGGACCTGCAGCTATCATGTGCATACAGTTATCTCGGGGCACTCCTTTTTCCTCAGGTCAGGCAGATGGAAGTGCTGGGCTGATGGCCCTGCTTACCCGCTGTCTGCTGCATTGTCGATGGCCATCTCCAGAAGTCCAAATTTACTGAGGAGTTTCACAGCTGCTTCTCCACCCAAGCTCTTTGCCCACATATAGGCCACATGCTTGTAGGAGTTTGCTCCCCCATGTGCCTTGGCCACCTATCCAAAGCAAAGAAAGCAGAAGAGCCCAATGCATCCCTTTTGTCTTCAGCAGGCTGAGCCAGGATTCCCCTCTCACACGATGCTTGTTGTCATGAGGGAGCAACAAAAACAACTGTTCTCTCCCGAGGAACCCTTCTGTAGCCACCGCTGGACTGGGGAGAGTGAGACCAAGGCTTATACGGCAGAGCAGGAAAGAGGCTGCTGCCTCCTCAGCATGGCCCACACTACTGTTAGGTCAGCAGAAGTGACCCCTGGCAATCTGTGCCCACACTGGAGCGCAGCAGTGCTGGGGTGGGGCTGCTACAGAGTGGCTACGGGCAGAGCAAATACCTCTGAGGTACAACACAGCGCAGTGGTTAGGAGCAGAGGAGTGCCTGGAGGAAGGCAGTGCTGCAGAGAGGCCAGGGGTCAAGCCCTGCTTTTGGGTCACAGTGCTGCAGAGCAGCAGGCACAAGCGCGTCCAGTGCTGTGCCACGTGCTGAAGCTAGGGAGCGTACGCCAAGTCTTCCAATTTTGCAGTGAGTAGAGACAGAGCAGTTCCTACCAGGATCCTACACTCCAAGCCTGCACAGTGGGACAGCTGTGAAGTGATTATTACCCTGTAAGCTTCTTCCCACATGTCATTCACTCTGTACATGTTTACTGTGGCCTTCCAGTCCTTAGCTTCTAGGTAATGGTACTCAGCCTCCTGTAAGCGTCCCTCTGCCTCCAGCTCCTGCAATGAGAGGCAACGAGTAGGCGACACTCTTGTCCCTGCTTGGCCTAGTTGATCCCCTGCCATGAGACGCACTCACCTTGCCCAGGTGCAGGTGGGTATCGCCGAGTAAGTCCTTGTGGTACTTGGCCACTAGGCAAACCATCTCATCATACATCTTGCACTTCTTGTACATGGTGATGGCCAAATCGGGTTCATTGACAGTGATGTATAGCCTGGGAACACAAGCGCATTCAAACGGCTCAGCCAAGGACACGACCGGTCCCTGCAGTCACTCTGCATCCTGCCCGGCTGGAGTCGGGTCCTGGGCACACTGCCTGAAGGCACGACTGGTGTGCAGCGTGACTGCTGTGGGCTGCAAGGCTGAACACTGCTTAGCCGCAGCCCTTCCAACAGGCCACCATCAGCTGCAGTAGGGCCAAGTTATCCCCTCCATCCTCACTTGTCAACCTTAGTTGTGACTTGGAGGGAGCCTCTGGGCTTCTGTGACCTGCTCTCATCTTGGCCTCCAACCTGAGGCTGCCAGTCCTGTTGGGATGGTGACATGACAATGTCAGCTCAGCTTACTCATATAGGCCAGCAGAAAGATTAAACCCAATGCGACCTCACCAGCTGTAATGCCCTCTTTCATGTACTGGCCATCCTTGAGATCAGGGACCATGGCATCAGAGAGACAGCTGTGCTTGCCCCTGTACCTACTAACCTTACTGTGTTGTTATTAATGTAGAACTGACAACATTAGTAACCTAGAAGGGGAACACTCCACTTTCCGTATCTTATCCTCAGCTGACCATGACAGATCAGATGTAGCACTCTACTGTGGTGAAAAGCCTTGCCATATTCTCTCTGCTACATAAGACAGCTGCACCCCACCGGGACCTCCTTTCTGTGCTGGTGGACAAAGATACATCAACAGTCAGTGACTTCTCTTCCTCTGAACTCTCAAATACCAGCTCTAGGTCTCCAGGTGCAGAGAGAGAACCTCTGACCTTTCTGAATCCTAGTCCCAAACTCTACTCCCAACCCAGGAAAGGGCTCCTCCTCACTACAGCCATTTTTTCACGGCTCAGTCTTGGACTAGTACCAAAGAAGATGCTCACCTCTCTGCTTCTTTGTACTTGCCCTGCTTCTCCATCTCTTGGGCCTGGGTTATATAGAGCACGGACACATCTTCCCGACTCATACACTTGATTGCCAGCTGCCAAAAGGAACACACATGGGAGAAACTACAGCTCACTGCACAGCAATCTCTTGACAGATGGTAGTGAAGAAGAAGGGGAAAACCAGTCTCCTTCCCATTCCAAACAGGTGTGTATGCATTATGCTCTGCAGAGAATGGGTAGTCATTCGTCACTGTGATCAAAGCACACAGGACCAACCCCCTTGGAGAGCGCTATTTGTGTCGCAGGTGCACCCACATGGGGTGCTGAAGGAAAGAAGGGCACAGACAGGATGTGAACTCTGGGGACTGATCTCTTGCTGGCTACTGGATGCCCCTCCATGCATTCTATGGGAACAGTGCTTGTTGACCAGGTGTTGGTGAACAAGGCACCACCACCTCCCGATGAAAGACATTTCACCAAGAGGGGTGAGGTCCCCAGAAGCTTTGGCTTCTGACTCTACCTTGTGAGCCTGTTCCCAGAGCCCGGCCTGTGTGTACATGTCAATGGCATCCTTTGTCTGGTCTCCTTTGATGTACAGCTCCTCTGCAGCCTGTGGGGAGATGACCATACTCAGCAGTCCCAAGGGACACGCAGAGCAACAATGATTGTGGTCTGTGGCCTCACCTGATATTCCTGTAAAGCTGCATAGTGCCGGGCAATCTTGAGGTAATATTTGGCCGCTGTCTGCTTGTCCTGCAAGTCCAAAATGTAGATAGCCTTCTTCCACTGCCGGGCTCCCAAGGCTGCCTCAATGGCCTTAACCGAGCACCTAGCATAAAAACGTAACTCTTTACAGCCAGCCAGCAGCCATCTGAGTTAAGCCAGGACGACCAAGGTGGTCTGCTGCTTGATTCTTCCTCCTGGAGCAAAAAGGATCTGAATAACTGGCAAAGCTAAGGGCAAAGAACGAAGAACTAGGACAGCAGGGAAGAGTAATCAGGGAGGAAAGACCTTGGGACAGATGCAGGAAGGCATCCATGGTCGGGGCCAGCAGAGACTGCACGTAAGCACCAGGAGCACTGGCAAAGCAGAGTCGAGAGGGCTTACTCAGGGAAAACCCCCTCCTGCTTCAAACAAACCATGTCAACTTCATAGCTTGCCACGTTAGCTGCTGCTAGTTATACAGCCATCACCTGCCCCCACCTGGCTTCGATGTAATGGTTAATAGCAGCATCCAGCTGTTTCTGCTGCACCAGATGGTCTCCCCAGGCCTCCTCCAGCTTCACAACTTCAGCGGGAAATGCCAGGCGAGCCAGCTCCACGGCTGTAGGGAGACATGACAGCTGTTACGCTGAATCCAGCAAGGAAGCAAAACTGTGAAGTGAATGAGGGCCTTGGAAGGGGTGCATAGGGAGGGGAGTGGTGACTGTCTAATCCACTCCAGCTCCGATGGGCTACCCAGCAACCTGGACCCTGTGGAGAGCTGAGGCAACCAGCATGATCAAGGCCTTGGGAGCAGGATGCTGTTCTGGGACTGTGTGTGCAGGTACAACTACGTGAAAATACATACGTTGAATGAGATGATACACGGAAGCTTCAGAGCATCGAGGCATCTCCGGGCTCCAGGGCAACAGCTCACGTTGCCACCAGGCCAGAGTACCCAGGCTCCTGCTGGGGATGGATAGGGGGGAGGAACATATTTAGCACAGTACCTTTCAGGAAGGCACTGCCCTTGCAATAGCACTCCAGAGCCTTCTGTGGGTTCCCAACCTTCTCAAACAGGTCTCCAGCCTAATGACAAATAGAAGCTGCCAGTTTCCAGAGCCACTACTTCCGCACACCAACTTGTACCCTACCAGTCCCGGGTACAGAGCTCATCAGTTCTGCCGCACAGACTTCTCCATCAGCTATGCCTTCCCCACTAACCAAGAGCACAGGGATAAAAGAACTTCTAGGAAAGACTGCCGGTGCCGAGACCATTGTCCTCTCTGCCGATCAACACATCTGAAGTGTTTTTCTGGGGGGTACCATTTTCTAACAAGATAAGAGCTTTTGAGGCAACCTCCCTTCTCTGCACAGTGGCTGGTGCAGCAACAGCCCCTTCTGTGACCACAGCCCCTAGGAGCTCTGCTACGCAGACAATCACACAGGAGCCGTGGGCATGAGCAGTGAAGGGAGAAGCTCAGCCTCTCGCAGCAGGTTTTTATCCTGTAGGAAAGGGTGCTGCTGGTCACGCTGCTGGGATGAGGCTCAAAGCTCGTAGAACTTAGAGCATAATACCAGAAAGGCCATCCTGGCAGACCAAAGATTCGTTCCCTTCAGTATGCGAATGGTGGCGAAAGCACACGTCCAGAGAAAGACTGTAAGAACGGAGCAAGTATACACCAGCCTTTCCTCCATTACATCTATCTGTCTCTGGCAACCTGCACTGCAGAAGCTTCCTGAGTTTGTGTCATGATGCCCTCACATTATCATATTTAACGGCTTTTGACAGCCTCTACTTCCACGATTTGTCTAATCACTTTTGGACTGTTTACACTTCTGGTAACAAAACATCTGGCAGCAATGAGTTTCACAGTTACTCTTTCAACCGGCAGCTCAAGAAAAGGTGACAGGTTTGGAAGCGCACAGAATTCTCTTGGGTCAAAATGAAACAGTCATAAAATGCTGAAGGCAAAATGAGACTGCAGAAATGAGATTTAAGCAGGGTACATAAAACAGGCCAGCAAAAAGAACTGCTTTTTTTCACACAACACATAACTGAACTGGGTAACTCACAGCCAACACTGTAGATCAAAAAGTACAGATGCTTCAAACAGTAATTTGACAAGCTCATGGAAGTGAAATCTACCAAGAGCTTTTTAACATAAAAATAAAGCTGTTCAGGTACACTATAGTCTGAAAACTGCTGGAATCCATGAAAGTACACTAGAGGAAGTACAGTCCTAAATTTGCCTGTTCCTTATATTCCTCACTTAAACATCTACAAGGGGCCACTGATGGCCAGGATATCAAGCTGCACACTGGTCAGACTCAGCACTGCTTTCTTACATTAACATGACTATGTGCTGTGTGAAAAATACCCTTTTGTTTTAAAACTGTCACCTAATAATAAGTAGTTACAAATTTTTTGTATTACTAGACACAGAGAATAATCACTTCCCTGCTTTATATTATTCATGGTTCTACAGATTGCCTTCATAACCTCCTTTGTTTCTCTTCCTCAGCTTTTCCATTCAGACTATCCTTACATGATGGCTGCGCCATCATTTTTCATTCTACTGTGAGGAAGCACTTTGTGTGCAGTGATTTCGTTTTCTGTTTGATTCACAACTCCTTTCCTGTTGGTTCCTACCTTCCCAAGGGCCTCCTTGACTATTACTGAACACTTGGCTGATGTTTCGGAGACATGTCACCAAGGAGTTGTGATCTTTTTCCTGACTAATAACAGTAATTCTAGACCTTACCCGCGTATAATGGATGCAGTTAGGATTTCCTCCCAAGCGTTAACTGCAAACACATCAACGCAGAATTACATTTGCTACGCCGCAGCTCAGTGCCCCTGGATCTCACAGATGCAGAGGACAAGGTAAGAGATTTGGCACCACTAAGAAGAAAGCCCAATGGGGTGGGCCACTCACCTGTTCATACAGTTCCCCTCTGATCAGTGCCGTGGAGACCCTATTGACGATGTCCCCGTTGGTCAGCAGCTCATCCCTGCTCATGGCGAGCCGCGCTGCTTTGGCTGGCAGCCCTGCCCGCAGGTATAGGCTGATGGCTGCCAGGTAGTCGCCCTGTCCCTCTTGGACCTCCCCAGCCTTCTCTTCCTGCTGGGTATCCAGCAGCCACTGGTAGTAACCCCGACGCAATTTATCCAGCGTCGGGTGTCCCTGTTGAGAAATGCAGCACTGGTTGACCTGGGCAAGGCAAGATGTCCTGCTCATCCTGCAGGCTCTGAACAGCTATGGTTCATGGCACCATAGGATCACAGCATAGTTTGGGTTGGAGGGGACCTTTAGAGATCATCTAGTCCAGCTCCCCCACAATGAGCAGGGACATTTTCAACTAGATCAGGTTGCTCAGAGCCCCGTCCAACCTGACCTGGACTTTCCAGGGATGGGGCTTCTACCACCTCTCTGGGCAGCCTGTGCCAGTGCCTCGCCACCCTCAGTACAAAAAATTTCTTCCTGACATCCAGTCTTTTAGTTTAAAGCCATCACTCCTTGTCCTATCACAACAGGCCCTGCTAAAAAGATTGCCCCCACCTTTCCTGTAGGCCCCCTTTTAAGTACTGGAAGGTTGCTCTAAGGTCTCCCTGGAGCCTTCTCTTCTCCAGGCTGAACAACCCCAACTCTCTCAGCCTGTCCTCATAGAAGAGGTGCTCCATCCCTCTGATCATTTTTGTGGCCTCCACTAGATCTGCTCCAACAGGTCCATGTCTTTCTTGTGCTGAAGACTCTGGAGCTGGATGCAGCAGGTGGGGGCTCACCAGAGCAGAGGGTCAGAACCACCTCCCTCAACCTGCTGGCCACACTCCTTTTCGTGCAACCCAGGATATGGTTTGCTTTCTGGACTGCAAGTGCTCATGTCCAGCTTTTTGTCCACCAGTACCCCCAAGTCCTTCTCGGCTCAATCCCTTCATTCCCCAGCCTGTACTGACATCAGGGATTGCCCCAACCCAGGTGCAGGACCTTGCACTTGGCCTTGTTGAACCTCATGAGGTTCACATCGGCCCACTCCTTGAGCTTGTCGAGGTCCCTCTGGATGGCATCCTGTCTCGCAGGTGGGTCAACTGCACCGCTCAGCTTGGTGTCATCTACAAACCTGCCGAGGGTGCACTCGACCCCACCATCTATGTCATTGACAAAGAGATATTAAACAGCACTGGTCCCAGCACAGGTCCCCGAGGGACGCCACTTGTCACCGATCTCCATCTGGACATCAAGCCATTGACCACTACTCTCCGGATGTGACCATCCAACCAATTCCTCATCCACCAAACAGTCCACCCATCAAATCCATATCTCTCCAATTCAGACAGAAGGATGTCGTGGGGGACTGGGTCAAAGGCCTTACAGAAGTCCAGATAAATGACATCCGTAGCTCTTCCCTTGTCCACCGGTGTAGTCACGCCATCATAGGCGGCCACTAGTTTGGTCAGGCAAGACTTGCCCTTGGTGAAGCCATGCTGGCTGCCTCAAATCACATCCCTGTCCTACATATGTCCTAGCATAGCTTCTAGGAGGATCTGTTCCACGACCTTCCCAGGCACAGATGCGAGGCTGACAGATTGCTGCTCAGTTAGCAGAACCCTGTGTACCACTGCATCATCCACTCTTTTTCAAAGCCCTAGATACTCCTAAACCAATTTCAGTAGCCTTTCTCCCTCACTATTCACCCGGGGCCGTAATTACATCAGTTCAACCTTCCCTTCTGCTTGGAGCCCCTGATAAGTGAGGTCCTGATAGGGCAGGTGAAGAGAACCCAGACCTTGAATGGACTCCCAACCAGAAGACTTATCAAGCAAGCCCAGCCCACAGTCCAGTGCAGCTATATTCTGTACCTTGGCCTCGGCAACCACAATGCATTCATCCCACATGTGCAGTTCCTGGTACATGTCCATGGCCTCCTCTGTGGCGTTCTGTGTCAGAGAGCAAAGTATCAACCTGAAGGCTCTATTTATCTCCATTTAACAGACACACTGCAATTGAGCTCTCATAGCGGGCAAGGTTAGATGTGCAACCTTGCAGAAAACACCTGAAAAAGTGTACCGTCCCCTTTACATGGATATACATCCTCCCTCACCCTCTTCATGAACCTCAGGGCAATCCTACACCTTGGAACAAGAAATAGCTCCTTCTATTTCAGGGCAAAAACTCTTCTCCCAGGAATACGCAAGCTCTTCCTTTTCTCTTTCACACCAGGGCACAAACCTCTCTGTTCAGAAATAAACGAGACCTTTTCTGCTCCTTGTTCCTTTACTCACTTGTTCCAGGAAGATCATCTCTGCCAGCTTGTAGTTCTTGTCTAGCATGGCCAAGCGGGCACGCACCAGATAATGGTCTGTACCATCCCCACCCTGCAGATAACATCAGTTTGCTGAGTGAAAAAAAAAGGCTCTGGAATGACACAAGGGAGGTGACGGCAGGTGCGGTCTATGTCATTACAGAAACTAAAGACAGTTGAGAATCCCAGGAGTGACAAGACAGGAGCAATATGAAATGGATAGCCTGGCAGGTGTGGATGAAGGACTATGTCAGAAGTTTCTACATGACCAGGTACTGGTCTGTAGCAGGATACTGGTGAGCATGGACACAGGAGATAAAGTGTATGCAAGTGTTCACAGGGAAGCACCTGCCCTGCACAGCAGAAAAAGTTTGACTTACGTGCTCTTGAGCTGCCTGGTCAGCAATGGTATTGGTTTCATGCAGAAATCGAGCCTTTGACATGTTGCCCAGAGCTGCAAAGCACCTGGAAAGAGCAAAGCAGTTAGCCAATAACTGGGCTTTGCTGCCCGCTTTTGGTCCAAGAAAAGAATATCAGAACCTGGGCAGCAGACCCAACTGTGCAAGCTGGAAAGGAGAGGTGGCCCTGCTTCAAGAGGCGGCTTTTGCCAAGACCCACGTTTAGATGTGCCCTCTAGCCCTGCTCCATGGGAGAAGCCATGGCCATCAACAGCGCTCATGCTTCACTTCCCCAGGCTTCAGAGACGCACTGAGCTTTTCCATGTCTGTCAGCTCCCTGAAGCCTTGCTACACATTGCTTTGGGTTGCCACCAGCAAAAATTTATGCTACAGAGTGATGTTTTCCTGTCTCCAGTTCCAGCATTACTCTTTAGGATAAAAGGGCAAAGTCATTGCCTGGAACAGAGGACACTTAATTCTCCAATGCAGTGAATCTTCCCGGCTGCACAAAAAGTCACATTTTAGTTAGACCCTGGTTTCTGTGAGGGATTCAGCAAAGACAGCGTTTAAGCCAGAAAGATGTTAATAACTTCCTCCTGTACCTCTCTGCAATGTGCAGCTGTTTAGCTTCCAAAGCCAGTCTGCTTAGAGTCTTCCACATGGCTTCAGTCTCTGTGGACATTTCCAGTGTCTCCAAAAACGCAGTAGCCCTTAAGACAGAGAGGTTTGCAGACTTTCAGTAACAGAATAGGAGAGCCCTCTGAGGAAAATCCTAGGCTGAGACAGGAGCTGCCTAACAAGAGTTGCACGGAAAACCAAGCAGGCTAGGCTGGACCCGTTCTGAAGAGGATTGTATAACAAAGGGCCTGACACATCAGGGAAAAATTCAGAGACTTACATGATCCCTGTCTGGGCTATGGTACTTAGAGGCATATGGTCAGCAGAAGGCTGTAGCAGTGTGGGGCAAGTCCAAAATGTTGTGTCCGAAGCAAGTCCCTGGTGCAAAAAAGTCTCTCAAGCGGTAACAGTGCGATGAACATGTGAAATTTTCTTCCCTGGTCAATTTTAAAGCCCTATAACAATGTCAGCAATGCCCAGGTGGCTACCATGACTGCTCAAGGCAGTCAGTTTTTACTCTGCACAGCTCCTGAATGTTTCCATGACACTGTCACCATCCCCCGAGGGGCAGCAGCAAAAGCACCTGAGTACCACTTCGCATCTGGCTGCTACGGAAGACACACTTACTGCAGTTAAGTGAAAACTGCCTTCAGTTAATTTCTCTCAGCGTCAATGGGACCAGACGGGCCTGTCTCTTGTGCCCCCGAGTTTGAAACCATAGAGCTGTGAGGATGAAAAAGCTGAATATCCACTCCTGAAGGACTCTGCTGTGCATTATAGCCAGGCCTGGCACCAGCATCATGCTCAGAGCCTAAACTTCAACTCTGTATGGAAAGCTGTCCGCTGTAGTTCATGGACTGCTGACTCTCAGGTGTCTGTCACGTGAAGTGGGCCACTTGCCTTCACCATGTGGTGTATCTAGCACATACCTGTGATAATCCCCATCGTCAACAGCAGTTCCAAACTCTATGAGGCCTTCATCCAGGGTGTAGGACACAGTGTTCACCCCTTCAGATACTATCACTTCAGTCTTTCCATCATTCCGTTCCAAGTCTACGATATCCCCCTGGAAAGAGTACCAGCTATTAACACACCCCTGTTCTCCTAAAGTATGCAGGGTAGCAGGGATGTGAGGACAGCACTGCAACAGCTCTGCTCATTAAAGTTCTGCTGAATGAGCTCACCCTGGACAGACATTGTCCTCATCTCACCAGAGGGAAGGAAAAAGC